CTTGCCTCAAAGAAAACACGACATCTTTATTACAAAGGTCCGTTTCATATTCAGTTTAGGAAAACCGTTGTAATATCTGAGACTCACACAAAACCAATTTTTACACTAACTAACTAACTCACTCCCCGGTATCAGAACCCGCAGGTTCAACACCGACAACGCCAAAGTCCGCCACCGGCTACGATCCTGAGCCAACTCCATCAATTTGCCATCCTCACAGCCCACTTCCCTAAGATCCATCTTTATGTTTTCCTCCCATCTCCTTCTTGGTCTGCCCAGTGGTCGTTTTTAAGAAGGATTCCCTACCAAAATCCTGTATACACACCTTCTCTTCCCCACCCACATACGTGCTAAATGTCCAGCCTATCAGCTCCTCATTATGCAATATTCTAAATTACCCTTTTATTTCATTCCTCCTAAGTCCAAATATTCTCTTAAGCACTTGTAATCTACGTTCTTCCTCCAAGGTAAGGGACCATGTTTCACAACCATACAAGACAGCAGGCAAATTTATTGTTTTATATATCCTGATATTCAGTGTTTTGGATAGTAAACGAGATGATAACAGTTTTGGAATTGAATAAAACCAGGCGTTCCCCGAATGTATTCTACTATTAATTTCATCATCAATCTCATTTATATTTGTTATTGTAGTTCTCATACTTAAATTTTGAAACATTTTCAAATGATGTTACTTATAATTATATTCTGTAGCTGTTTCTGAAGTTGATCCCGTATTACGTCCATGTACTTCGTTTTGTCTATATTTAATCCTAGGAATATTTCCTTGCTAGCCTGTAGTGTGGGCGTAATTTATAGTTAGTATATGTTAGAGTAAATGGTACATGTAAGTGCGTTAAAAGATTAAAAGCAATTTTAAAGTTATTCTTCCCTTGAGATCTTCCAACAGTTTGTACGAAGACGGATGTCTTGTTAATAAAATGAGCTGTGACCCTGCTATTACAGAGTTCTGTAATACCGACCCGAACTGTGCGCAGGCCCAGGCAATATTTATTTATCTTGTTTCAGGCCTCACTACTGTTCTCATTATTATTCCTTCAGATATCTCCCCTTAACCGCCACTGGGTTGGCAACTCGTCAGGGCTGCCAACATATTTGTTATTAACGATGCGGGATGTAGTCACATGATGGGTCTCTGGAACATAGTATTTTGAGATGACAAATGATGGTCATGGAACCCACAGAATTATACGGCAACAGATAATCCTTGCTCGAGAAATCGTACAAGTTGACTCAAAACCTACATTTCTGACGCATACTTGGCTTTGTGTTTTGTCAGGTTTAGAGTACAACGAAAATATTCAGTTGATATGTGTGGAATGATGAAGCACTTTAGGTTAGACCTAAGGGAATTTTTCAAATGTCGTCTTTTGCGATTTTTAACAAATTACAATGAGATGGTAAAGTTGCGTCATATTGTGATATAATAAGTATATATTAAAACTTGTCCGTCTAATCACAATAAATTCTTATTAAATATTACAATAATTAACATTTAAAATATTTAAAATATTAAATGATGTTCTTTATCGAAATATTCGATTTACATTAGACCATGATTTTTCATGTTTCACGACATGTTTCAGTTCTTAAAAGAACCATCTTCAGGTGTATATAAATATTTTAAATGTTAATTATTGTAATATTTAATAAGAATTTATTCTGATTAGACGGACAAGTTTTGATATATAAATTACAATGAGATTAATTTATTTAAGATATAAATCTGTCGTTGTAAAACCATCAGGTGTCACACTGTACGGAATTCGGAAATGTTATTCCTTGCATGGTTTTTTAAACCTCAAACGATATTTCAGATGGAACTGCATGTATAATGAGGCTTACGAACTAAATTTAATCTCCTGCCTCAAATTATTATTGTCTGCATGCTGATCCGTGTTAATAGAAAACTGAAACATTTATGAGGAGAGACAGAAGAATATAAAAAAATTGAATAAAAATTTTCTTGGATATTATCCATCGTCTAGTAAATATAAAACGTAAAAACGACGTTTCGGAGATGGGA